TCCTAAAGCTAATTAATCATATGATGTCAAACTCGTATACTTTCATGTGATTTTAGAATAGTAGGCAAAGTCCTTACCATTAATTTATATTTTATGTAACTAATATATAGACCATTTGAAAAGCTAATCACATAGAAACGTCCAAACCAAAAACGTTTTCAAGTATTTTTACTTAAGATCTTAAGATAAAAGTTTCAAGTTAAATAATTATACGTAATTTCCATATTTTTAAACGTGGTGAATTAATTTACACATACTGCACTACACAACTGAAGTGCATAATGAGAATTTAATACGTGTAATGAGAATTTAAATGGATCCCATTTTTAACAAGTTGTGCCAAACATATTTCCAAATTTAACCCTGATAAGCAGATGAACTAATATGGAATAAAGAAAAATGCTACGGTAATGAGCCCCATTTCTTCAATGAGTTGTACAATACAAAATGGCTATATGCTTGCAAAATGATAGCAACGTGTAAAACAAAGACTCAGATAGGGCCCACATCTCCATAAAAGCTTCTGGAAACTAATGGTGATGTATGATAGAGATAAGCAAGGGGCAATTCGGTCTTGTTAAAGGGCCAAGAATGTACTTCACGTATTAGAAATGACTCAAAAATATTCCCCTTTCACCTATGGGTTCAAATTTACCCTTAATGTTATTTTTAGGCTTAAAAATGCTCATCTCTTAACGGAAAGATGACATGGCATTGATTGACATTTTAATTAAACATGTAGCATTTTTTAACTAAAAACTGAAAAAATCGATTTTTTTTTTCAGTTTTTACAAAAAAACTGCTTTAAAAAAAGCTAAAAAATATTTTCTAAAATAATATTTTTGTAAAAACTGAAAAAAAAACTGAAAAGCAATTTTCTAAACCAATATTTTTGTAAAAGCTGAAAAAGAAGAGGAAATATTTTCTTTTACTAAAAACTGAAAAAAACGAAAATATTTTTTTCCAGTTTTTACAAAAAAATTACTTTAAAAAAAACTGAAAAATATATTCTAAAACAATATTTTTATAAAAATTGAAAACAAAACTGAAAAGCAATTTTCTAAAGCAATATTTTTGTAAAAGCTGAAAAATATTTCCTCTTCTTTTTCAGTTTTTACAAAAACATTGCTTTAGAAAATTACTTTTCAGTATTTTTTAAAGTTTTTACAAAAATATTGTTTCAGAAAATATTTTCCAACTTTTTTTAAAGCAGTTATTTTGTAAAAACTGGGAAAAAAAAATATTTTTGTTTTTTTCAATTTTTAGTAAAAAAACAATATTTCCTCTTCTTTTTCAGCTTTTACAAAAATATTGCTTTAGAAAATTACTTTTCAGTATTTTTTTAAGTTTTTACAAAAATATTGTTTCAGAAAATATTTTTCACCTTTTTTTAAAGCAGTTTTTTGTAAAAACTGGAAAAAAAAATATTTTGGTTTTTTTCAGTTTTTAGTAAAAAAATATTTCCTTTCTTTTTCAGCTTTTACAAAAACATTGCTTTAGAAAATTGCTTTTCAGTTTTGTTTTTAGTGTTTACAAAAATATTATTTTAGAAAATATTTTTCAACTTTTTTTAAAGCAGTTTTTTTGTAAAAACTGGAAAAAAAATATTTTCGTTTTTTTTTCAGTTTTTAGTAAAAAAATATTTCCTTTCTTTTTCAGCTTTTACAAAAATATTATTTTAGAAAATATTTTTCAACTTTTTTTAAAGCAGTTTTTTTGTAAAAACTGGAAAAAAAATATTTTCGTTTTTTTTTCAGTTTTTAGTAAAAAAAAAATTATTTCTTCTTCAATTGCTTTTCAGTTTTTGTTTTTACAAAAATATTATTTTAGAAAATATTTTTCAGCTTTTTTTAAAGCAGTTTTTTTTGTAAAAACTAGAAAAAAAATATTTTTATTTTTTTCAGTTTTTAGTAAAAAAAAATCACTTTTTTCGGACTAAATAAATGCTACATGTTTAATTAAAATGCTCATCAATGTCATGTCATCTTTCTGTTAAGAGAGGGGCATTTTTAAGCCTAAAAATAACATTAAGGGCAAATATGAACCCATAGGTGGAAGGAGGGCATTTTTTAGCCATTTCTAATACGTTGAGGGCATTCTTGGCCCTTTTCCGAAATATCTATATGGAAGCTACAGTAAGATACCTTTTTATCCAATTAGATTGCTCTATTGCATGTGAAATGACCAGAATATCCTTAAAGTGACAAGCAGGCATGTTGACCTCCCGTGCTTATTCCCCTTATTAATACGTAGTTAGAATTAGAACTAGTAAGGGATGGCCCATGCGTAGCACTATGCTTAAGTTGTGCTAATTAGTATGTGTAAATTTTCTTCTTAATTTATAATTTTATATGCACGTGTAATATAAAATTTTACTTAAAATATTAAGTTATTAAAATAGTTATGGATAGTTTCTTAGACGATGCTATCTATCGTTCAAAATAAGTGCTTCTAAGTTTTTGACACACCCATTAAGAGAATCATTTAATAGCGTTAATATAATCGTTGTTTAACTAAATTATCCTTTATATCTTCTTTAAATTAGTCTTTGTATATCATCATGTTTTGTAGATCATTATTGGCTCAAGGATAGTTTGGAAAAATACTAATTATTGCCTTCTTGGATTTTCAAAGTCATAATTACTTTTGCCAAATTAATTTAGTTAAAATAAAATATATTTTTGATCATAGGGAAGTTCATGAAAGCTACAATGTAATGCCTCAAAAGCCTATATATATATATATATATAGGTTGAATTAGTACCTATTGAATCAAAGTTGCATGGTCTAGTATTGCATAGTGAATGCTAATTTCCTTTATCAAAAATACCAAAAGATCGCGAAAATAATGCATTTCTTAATTAGTACAAATGTCACATGTAGCACATAATTCAAAGGTAGTGTTAATTCATCGTATTAATTACAAGGCAAAGACAGAAGTTAAAAAGATTGATATGTGTGCAACACTAAATAGATAAATTGCATGTTATAACCTATTGTAGATTTCTTTTCTTTTTGAGTTTAATTTGCTAGACTGTGATTTTTTTGTTATGTGACTTTCTCGGTTTTTTCCTTCCGAGTTAAATGGTTAGTTTGCGATTTTATTTGATGTTAGGTTTATTAAGGGGGGCGGGTTGGATTTAGTTTTCTTATTAGTTAGCTTTTGATTTTCTTCAAATTTAGATTTTTGGATTCTTTCTTTTTTGGTGTTCTTAATGGTTGGATTGTGACTTTTGATGGATTTTGAATTTTGTGTTATTTTTCTTTTCCTTGGTTTTTCTCTCTCCAGTAGTTAGCTTTTGATTTACTTGAAATTTGGATTCTTTGGTTACTATCTGATTATATCTGGTCAAAAGAGGATACCAAGTTGCTTTGATATTTTGTTACACATTCTCTACCTTTCTTTTAAATGGTATACAAGATTAAAATATTTTTTAAAATTCTAATAACCTTTATTGTATATTTACCTTTTAACTTAAATATTATCAAATTTATATTCCATTCTTAAAAATTGAAAGAGCATAATCCGAATTGCCATCTTTTATGACAAATATGTTTTCTAGACAAAACAGTATAAAAACATTAATATTTTAGGAAATCAGATAAAAATTTGAACAAGCAATTTTCAGTAATTAATGGTGCTGCAAGTTAAAACATTGTTGCATATAGTTCAGTGGATGCGATGGAGATGGTGGCAAACCGTTATGTTGAACACTTTTTGAGGATTATTTCAATTGAAATAATAATTACTCAATTTCTTGTTTTCAAATAGAATTTATGTGCAAACACAACTTTAACTTCCAATTATATTTTTTTCCTTTAAGTAATTTATTTTTCAACTTTGTCAAATATTTGTCCAAATGCCAACAATAAACCATATTTTTTTATGTTATGTAAATTAAAAATAAAGTTAGTAACACAAATAGCCATAAAATTAAATAGGAATATCAATGTAGGAGTATGACAAAAACAACGTATATATAAATTACAATGGCTAATATAAAAACTGTAATTACCTTTTAGGGACGTGGCTATCAAATGGGCCCATGTCTATCAAAGATTTGTATACTTGCGAAAGTGATAAACATAAGAGTTACTCCAGAAGAAGATTTGGGATAATTAAATGGTGATGTATTTGATTGAGATAAAGCAAAGGTCAATTCGGTCCTAGTCACTCAAATATCTCTATGGCAGCTACAGTAAGGTGCCTTGTTATCCAATTAAATTGCTCCTTTTAATGTGAAATTACCAGAATGCCCTTGAAGTTGACCTCATGTAATGCTTATTCCCCCTTATTAATAGAGAAAATACCGGGTGGGTTTGGGTCAAAATGTAAAAATAAGTTTATTTTTAGAATTATTTTTTTCAAAAATATTTTTATCGAGAATTAACTTGTGTTTGACTAATTAATTTAAAAAACACTTATGAGCAACGATTAGTGTTTGGTCAGGCATTTAAAAACTGATTCTAAATGTATTTTTCTCAAAAATACTTTAAAAAAAATTACTTTATTCAATTTTTCAAAAAATATTTATGTTTCTCCTCAAAAGTATTTTTTTTCCATTCAAAAAGCTTGGTCAAATATTTTTATTTTGAAAAAAAACATTTTTTTTCAAAAAAAATGCTTATCGAATTGGAGAAACATATAAGAGGAGAAAGACTCTCATGGTGATTGTAAGCTTAAATATTCTTAACATATCCGCCATAAATATTGGACCAAAAAAAAAAAAAAAAGAAATCCGACATAAATAGACTGTTAGATTATCATAACCACACATATACCTTTCTTTCTTTTTGGTGATTCCAAGACGAAGAGCTGAACTAGGTGCTTTTAATATTTTGCTGAAATATCATGTTTCATTTACCCTGTCCTTATCTCTTTCTCTATTTCTCTAATCGAAGCTACAAATTACAATCCTCAAATTAATGGGCATGCACGTTTTGCTACATATTTAAGAAACACCAGTTTTAGAAGTTGTATAGCCATACAAATGGTATGACAGGATAATAATTCAAGTTTCAAAAGTTTTCTTTTATTTTTTAGACTTCATGTTCTAGGTTCACGTAATTGGAATGAGGGATAATTGTTTTCAACGTTTTGGGTTGTGAAGAGCAGCAGTTTTTAGCTGTTAGTAACTAATTATAGCCCACAAATCTCATCGCTCCAAATTCCTGTCCTTTTTGTATTTTATGAAAGCTGTATTTGCTTGAGTATTTGGATTTTTGAGGTTCCCTCTGTTGTTTTTCCTTTTTTCGTTAATCTCTTCCTCCATTTTTGGCTGATTTTTGAGTTTCCCTCTTTTGTTTTGATTCCTGATTAGAGAAGCAGCTAGCTTAGCAAGACCGAAAACATGGAAGAACAACTTTTACCAACTGAAGAAAACAAATTCTCAGTTGGCACCTCCTGCTCGACAACAGTTGTTCTAAGCACTTGTGTTGTTGTGTGTGGTTCCTTGGCTTATGGATTTGCTGTAAGTATAATAGGCTCTTAAGGGGCAACGAAGCCTGTTGATCACCACTACAGGTGCAGTGACAAAAATCATAGCTTGATTGGGACAATAAAATACACTTACAATGTAAAAATTGTTCACACTGTCAACATATATAAGTTAATTCATAATCGTATGATCTAGGAGATGTGGATTTGCAGTAAACAATAATATAAGCCTGGAGATGCTGATTACTGCAGTTATATAAAATAAAATTTGCTCCTCTTCATATTACTTGTTTTTCTCTCTGCCTATGATTATATGGTTCTAGACTTAGATTCAGTAAGTCTTATGCTTAAATACTATCATAACAAGCAGAAGTGGCAATTACTTAAATTAGAGACACATTAAGTGATGATCTATAACTGAAGTGAGTACTTAAGGTCTAAGTTGCTCCGACATGGCAGTTTAGGTGCCGCACCCGTGTCGACACGACACTAGTATGGGTGTGGGTATGGGATCCGTACCGGATCTGGTCAAATAATTTTGGGTACTTTGACTATGGGTGTTTAACGGGCGGGCTGGGACGGGCTGGACACAAAAAAATCCAGCCCGTCCGTTTAACGTTGCGGGCTGTTAGCGGGATGTACTTTTTCGGGTTTTTTTCTGTCTGTCTGGGTTCGGGCTTAGCGGTCTG